CGGGGTGGGTAGAGGTGAAACTATGCTTGCTGACACGCGCATCCCGCACCACCCCCACGTCCGCGCGCACCATGCCGCCATCCCACCTCACAGCCAAGCGCCATCGCCGTCGGACGCGGCGACGCCGAGCGGTGGCCTCGCAGACGACGAGCGCGATGAGGCCGCCGCGCCGCCGGGGTGGCCGGCGCGTGCCAGCCGCTGGCCCGTCCAGCGTGGCGGGACCGGCTCGCCCATCCTGGCCCGCGCGCTTGCCGACGCGAGAAGATCGCGCGAGAGGGCAAAATGTGGCAAAAATGGCCCTGTTTGCAAACCTTCACGGCGACTTCACGTCGGAACGAGTCGGATCGACGACTCGCCGCCTGCACCAGCGTGTGCGCCTTGCAATTCTATACAGAATCGATACTTGGTACGTCTTCTCAATCGCTCGTGGAGAGGATCTACGGCCATTCTCCACTTGTGTTCGACGATGTCGAACAATGTTCGACATCGTCGAACACGATCGAGTAACCGGTCGCCTCGACGCCGCTCGTCGCGGCACCATCGTGCCCGGCCTGGGCGAAGCGTCGTCGCGGGTTCCCGCCGCAGTTCGACGGCAAGCCGTGCGAGCCTGCCGAGGAGGAGGACATGTGGCTGTGCAGAGCCGACGGCCGCGCGCGCAGCACCGCCGACCTGAAGCGCCTGGCGACCGCCGCTCGGGTGCGAGCGAAACGAGCAGGAGATGCAGCCGCCGCGAACACGCGCGATCGGCAGGCGCGCGACCAGCGCCGCCGGCAGCGTGAGCAGCACGACCGGCGCGCAGCGCCGGCGGTCGCCAAGACCGTGCGCCCACAACGCGGCCAGTGCGGCTGCCCGGCGCACGCGGTGTGCGGCATGTGCGTCGACCAGGGCAAGCTCGCCGCGGCCGAGCAGGCGGCCATCGACCTGGAGACGCGCTTCCACGCCTCGACGAACGTCGTCATGGACCTGGAGCGGCCCGAGGACGAGACGGCGGCGCTGCTGCAGCGCTGCGTGCACGTCTCCGACGAGACGAAGCGGCGGCTGCTGGGCGAGTGGAGCGACGAGCGCATGGCGCACGCGCTGCCGCTGCACGCATGCGCCTCGTGCGGCGTGCGCGACCCGTCGCTGACGTACACGCGGGTTGACGTGTCGGCGCTGCCGCGTACTGTGTCTAGGACGACGGTGCAAGCATGTCCGAGGGTGAGTAGAAGTGTGTGGAGGTTTGGTAGGCTGTAGCGTCGTCGCGCGTAAGAAGAGTGGTGAAATTTAGAAAAGGAGTTGCGGTGTTGATCGCCGCGGGAGCCCTCTTATTACAAACTTTCGCACGCTCAGCACCTGGACGAGGTCACATGGACCACCAAGAACTGGCACGGGCTGCAGATGCAGCGCTTGTCTGTCGTCCTCCACACCGCCGTGGCGAGGGGGTCTCTCGCTTGGGGGATTGAGCACTTGCACACAGGGATACTGCCCGCCCCCATAGATTCGACCCATGTTGTTGTTGACGGTGCCGTGCACCACGTCGCGTCCTGCAACGTTGCAATGCTTGCACAGGTAGACAACACAACCCACAGGTGACTTGGACCACTAAGAATTGGCTGGGGCTGCAGAAGCAGCGCATCTCAGTCGTTCTTCACACGGCCATCGCAGAGCAGATTGTGAATGAGCTTGCCTGTGGCGGGGGTGGGCGGGTGCACGGACGGAGCTAAGTGCCTCGCCGCCCTCGCAGGAGTCGCTTAGGCGGCTCCCGTGGTGTACCTGTGTATCGTATTAGGCTAGTGCCATTTCACAGTGGCACAGATCGCGTTACAAAACCTTGATTGGTATTTTATAAACCTTGATTGACCATTTGCGGTGTGGCGCGGTGTGCTGCCGTCCACTCGACGGGATCGCAGCTGCCTCTGCGCGTCCTGGAGATGTACCAAATTGTCGCCGCCGGAGACGACTCGACGCCGCTGAGATCGGAGATCAAGCTCTGACAGGTCGCACGTCGCTCCTTTGACGCCGACGTGACTCACCCGTGCAGATCACCTCAGGACACGGTCTCGACGCGCTCGGTACGACGCCTGCGACCCGTCTCCGGTCAAGTGGCACGACGCTCATCGCGCCCGCCAGCGCTGCCGTGCAGGTTGCCACGACGAGGTCGAGCACGCTTCTATACGCTCGCCGAGCCTTCCTTTCCATCCCATTAGGCAGCCTGGGAATGGTGGCGGTCAGAGGCAAAGCCTACGAGGGGTGGTGGAACCACATGTCACGGCTACTGCCTGCTCGACCCCACGATAGCCTCCGAAGGCTGACTTTGAGGCACCATCATCGGACGATGTCGACGAGTTGGGTCGCTCTCGCGGTAGCCAGATGACCTCCCATGCTAGGACCATCGGCCATGGCCGCAGGGAGCGCGGGGGAGGGCGCTGGAAGCAACACGGAGCTCCGTCCGTTGGACATGGAGACGTTTTCAAGATTAGCGTGTCAGAGTGAAATGGCACTAGCCTTAGTGCCAGTGCGCGCCAGTCCCGACTCCCGCCCAGTGTCGTGCGAGGGAGCTTCAATGTTGATTCTTTTATTTCGGTCGGCCTCACTTTTGCCTACCTCGCTGCCACGCACCAGCCTGGCAGCGCCGCCGCGGCCGTGGCGGGGAGCAAGGACAAATGAAACTTGGGGTAGCAAGAGAAAATGATTTGAGACAATCACCGCGCCGCGGGCATGAGCGCACTAGCTGCTAGGGTGCTACGCGGGAACGAGTGGCCAAATTCGCCATAATGTGCTTACGGGGGTGTCAGGAGACGGAACACGGAGGAGCTGTATATAGGTCACTAGAGACCCACACCATCGCTAGCTACATCACCACAGCCACCAAGTCGGATACAAGTCGATGACAATGTGCGCGGCAGGACAAACCAAACATGAGACGGTTACACAAGGACGGTCAGGCTACGGTCAGGAAGTAGGTTTGAGTTCACACTCTCCAACACTCCCCCATTGTCTCCGCAGTCTTCATGAATGAGGATGCGGCAGACAACAACAGCAGAGTGTGAATGTGTCTAGGTATGCCGGTTACCCGCCGGCGTCTCGCGGGGCTGGCTAAGCGTCCAACCTTGCGTCTTCGCGAAGGATGGTCTTGCTTGTTGGCAAGACTTGCGCGCTAAGATGATCCAGTGAAGGGGTCAAAGCGCGGCCGAGTGGGCGGAGAGAGAGAAAGGGGAGATAATGAACAGGAGCTCGTTGTGGAGCTCGGTCATGGCGCGCCGCGAGCTGCAATCCGGGCTGAGCGTCGCGGGGCGGCGGCTTGAGCGGGCGCGGCAGGCGCGGCGGGCGCGGGAGCGGCAGCGGGGGCGCCCCCTTGCGGCGCGGCGATTGGGCCGTTGGGAGGCCTCGCCGCGTTGACGCGGATGAGCGCATCAGGAACGTGAGGACGATCTTCAATGCCCCGAACGTTGATGTTGCGCCACGGGCCGCCGACGTCGGAGATGGCAGGCTCAGTCTCAGACGTCCAGACGGCAGAGGCGCTCGTAGAGGCGCATTGGACTTCTTGCCAGAGGCGTTGGATAGCAGGACGGGCTAGCGCGAGGAGGCGAGACGAGGAAGAGACAGCAATGAGGTAGAGTGGCATTGCCACGTCGAACAGATGCCCAACACTCCCCCACGACGTGGTAATCGCCACACAAGGCAGAGAGGGCGAGTCGATCGTCGCGTGTTCATCGCGTACAGCTCCGGTCGTGTCGAGCGGCGACATCGGAAGTAGCGGCGGCGAAAGGCAGGGTCCACATTCGGTGCGAGATCTTTGCGGTAACTGCCGTTGCAGCAGCCCGAGAGCTGGTAGCGGAGGCAGCAGCTGCGATGGTGGTCCGTAGGCGAGGAGAACGGACCGGTAAGGAGAAGCAAGAGGGGATACTCGTGTCCACACAGCCGCAGTGCTGGCGGAGATGCGCTCTGTCGCAGAAGATCCGCAAGCACCCAAGTTGATGTTGCGGTTGTACTCATTCTGCTCAGCCTCCGTGCCGAGCAGTTGGCGGCCGCTGTGCCACCGTGCGCCGAGCCTCTGTGCCCAGCCAATCACCACGACTCGCGCAGGTGCCCATGGTGCCAGCCAACGTATCGAGCGTAAGCCGGAAATGCTGTGCGGCAACACATCTCGCTTGTGTGCCGCACCAGCTCTCATGTCGGCCTCAGTGCCGCACTGCTCACTCCGTGCACTCACCGGTCGGTACCATGTCAGGAGACGGAACACGGAGGAGCTGT